TCAATGCAGATTCTCTTGCACCAAGGCTACAAAGAAATGAACTAGCAAGGTGATCCACATTTAGGGACCAGATTGGGTCAGACATGTTTCAGGACTAGAGGAGACTACGAAGATGATTAGGAGTTGTAGTATTTGGATTAATTGCACATCATCRTTGTTAGAACCAATTTGTGTCRATTGYAGTTCTTATAATGTTTAAAACATCCAATTTATTTGTTTTATTAGATATCCATGACTTACTTGTTAGATAGTTTAATATATCAACAATATTGTTTAAACACCATATTTCTGTATTGAACATGCTTACTTTTATGTTGTTGATTAGTAGAGGTATTTTCAATATTTATTTATGATAATGTATGTACATGTCTATGTGTTATTTATTTACTGCATGAAATGGAATACTTTTGGCCAGGGATGGTCTCTAGTAGAGATACAACAGGAACATCTATCAGTAATGGGAAGGATGGCAATAAGGGAAAGGATGTGTTGTTTGTCTCTCAAACTATGTCCAGCAAGGGTGATCGAAGTTGACAAGATGGAATGATGCCATGGACAAGGCATTGATTGAGCTACTTGCTGATTGGGTAATAAGATTGATAAGGGGTTTCGAACATTTGCATACACATCAGTATGCAAGGAGATGATTGCCCGTTTCAATATTGATATGAGAACACCCCATATTAAGAGTAGAATGAGAACATTAAAACCCATATACATGGAAGCCAAGAAGCTGCTTGAGATTAGTGACTTTGGCTGGAATGAATCCAAGAATCAAATCATAGATGACTCAGTTGTTTGGGATGATTACATCAAGGTAAATGTGGCATATTTGTTTTTTTTTAATTAATGTTTAAAAATTAGCAATTGGTAATGATGCCATCTACAATGCAAGCCAATCCACTTGCACTGTGTGTTAAAGGTAGGGTGATGGAGATGTTTGAGAAAATGCAAACAGTTTTGGAAAATGATCAGCCTACGGGTGACAAGGCTATGGTAGGGTTTGAGTCCGTGACTGAGTGTAATACTGATGTTAATGGTGCAGAAGAGGATGGCCCTGAGTTCAATGATGATGCAACAACCCCACTGACTGTTGATGAATTCATTTGTGAAGATGACACTCAATCAATCTCCAACAACAATTGGAGGGCAGGTTCCTCAAACTCAAAAAAAAAGAGTGCATGGATCAAAACCGAAGCCCAACCAGGACTTTATTGATGCAATTTACAGAATGAATATTACAATGTCAAAAATTGCACCTGCACTTACAGTGGAGACTAAGATGGATTTCTTAAACCATTTACGGAAGGAAGTTATGGACTTGTAAGGGTATGTCATCCAAGTCCGAAACACTGTCTTTGGGTACCTAGGTGAACATGAGAAGGAAGCAAAGATTTTCCTTGTGAGGGACAAGCCATTTAGGGCTCAGATGGTCCTACCATCATATCTAAGATGACTAGTTTTGGTGGAATGCAGTAGTACCTCTTCTCTTATTATGAAGTTTAGACAATGGAACTTTAACACTTCTACCCTTTTTTGTTATAACTTAGGTTGATGCACTTGCTGATAAAACATATTAACTAGCTGGTGGCAACTATAGTAGCTTTTAACACTCTTTTTGGTACTTACTTATACACTGATACTTTTGACTTATTGATATAATGGAACTTTCTTGTTATATCTCTTTGTTTGTAGTATGTCATAATCTGTCTGTTGCTTTGCAATGTACTCACATAAGCTTATCAAAATGATGAGGTGTGTAGGATGAAAAAGTCATATTTTGTGTTTAAGGGGAGAAAGCCAGGTGTGTATGACTCATGACCCAAGTGTCAAAAGCAAGTTGTTGGGTGCAAAGGGAATTTTTATTGTTCATATAACAGTCGAGAAGAAGCTGAAGATGTATACTCTAAGTATTGTGAAGTACTGCTAGATACAACATATTCCTCTGAGAAGTTGGTTACAGAACCATCCACATCAACAATTAGGCCATATCTGATAGGAGGCATCATTGGATTCTTCACTAGGATTGTGGCATGGTGGTTGTTTAATTAGCCAAATCATTTGGAAGGTTATATATATATATATATATGAGAGAGAGAGAGATAGGGAGAGGGAGAGGGAGAGAGAGAGAGAGAGAGAGAGAGAAAGAGAGAGAGGGGGGGGAGGGAGATGTGTGAGGGAAAGAGAGAGATAGGGATGGTTCAAATGCAACTGAACTAAACACTAGGGGTGTGTGTGTGTGTGTGTGTGTGTGTGTTTGTTGTCTTCTGTTATGGTCATGGGTTTGTTTTCATATATTCCTTTTTATCATATTATCATTAGCAGGTCACTTATATTGAGCAGGAACCACATGTTGGATCACTTAATTATCATTGTCAGATCTAATTTTATCATCTATTATGGATCACTTATAGCAGGAACCACATATCATCATCTGTTTTCATGTAGCTATCCTTTGTGTTCATTATCAAATCAGATAAACTGATCTCATCATTGTATATTTATCTGTTGTTAGCAAGTCACTTATATTTATCAGGCCTCATTGTTTGAAGGCTAACATGACATTCAATGATTTGTGAATGGATTAATTAGTAATTGTGAATGCAAACTGTTATCAGGTATCATTGTTTGAAGGCTGACAGTACCTTCAATGAAATATGAATGGATTGAGTAGGAATTGTGGATGGATTGTTTAGGGTGTGTTAGAATATCTCATGTTTGAATGAAATGTGAATGGATTGAATAGGAATGGGAAGGAGATCCAACAAATGAGCAAATATAGAGTGATATAGTTATCATTCTCATATTAGTTATCAGATGAGCAAATAGATGGATTGATATTCAACAAAATATGGGTATGCCCATATAGTCTACATCATCTTAATCTGAGGGAGATCCAACCCATCATCTTAATCTACCCACAGATGTAGTCGATGCAGAATTGGATAATGGATCGGAAAACAAGTCTATGTACGAGCATGGATTCAAAGAAAATTGATGATGGTGTAGAACTTCTAACTGTCTAAGCAAGCTCTTGTGTAGGATTGCAATAGAATCAAGAAAATGTCTCTCTCCTACATGAAAATTGTAAGGATTCCTTTACACTAATTTAAGCCAATTTCTACCAGAAGAAACCTCTCGTATATGAAAGACTGGTATGGATTAGCTACCACTAGCTGAATTGTGGACTCAGGACTGTAACCATTTTGGCAAGCTCGACCGATTAGCCTGAAACAATATTAGGCCGAGCTCACATGCACATTTGCTATCACTATGGTTGTAACAATGGACGGTCCAAATTTCTTGCACCTAGACTGGTGGTTATTATTGGAAAAAGCACACTAGGTAGTTAGTGCTCTCATAGTTTGCATCGATTTCAAACAAACGACAACAAATTTGTGCCCTGATTTATATAAATTCCAAACAAACGAGAAGAGTGCAAAAACCATACTAATTCTTGAACCGACTTTGCACTCATGAATCGGGACGAGTCCAAAAATGCATGGTACATATTTGCATTTGCATTGGAAATAAACGCAGCCTAAGTGAAAATTAATAGTAGCCCTAGTAGCCAGAATCGAAAAAAATAAAATAAATAAAAAGCATAACAAAAAAAAATCTTAGAAACCAACAACAGATAATTGTTTCGAGGGGGAAATCTCAGTTTCTCAAGTTTATACAAGAAAATCAAAGGCCACAGACAAAATGGAGCCCCATCATCATACAAGCAATCACTCCAAACGAGCCAAAGCACGCATTGACCCAAGAAGTAAAAAACAAAGTTACAATTAAGGGTGTCAATGGACCAGTTTTGGATTGGACCCCGGTCAATCCAAAATCAATTTGGACGGATTGGATGGATTAACAAGATATATTAGATTGGACCAATCCGGTCCAAGATATTCATTAGATTGGACTGGATCCAATCCGTCAGTAATAAATTTATATTGGATTGCATTGGATTAAGCTAAAATCTAGTCCATTGATATAAGATAAGAATACAGGTGTCAATGACCAGGTTTGGGTTGAAACCAATATAAATTAAAACGAATTTGTCCAGATTAGACAATCCAAACATTGAATTGGACCAATTTAAAATTGTCCAAAATATTCATTGGATTGGATTGGACCTGGTCCATTTGTTATGGACTCACACTGGACTGGATCGGATTGGACAAAATCCAGTCCAATTGACAACCCTAGTTACAATAAAACAAAACACCTAAAGTAACAGAATCAAAAAGAGCGAGAATAATTTCTTAACAAAATGTAGATGGGGATCATGATGCAAGAAAACCTAGATTCAAAAATACAGGAACACCAGCTTCCCCATCCACCTCTCTGTGTTCTGTTATCGTATCTTACCGACTGTGATAAAATCCTCTCCATCACAAGTTGTGAAGTTGCAGAAGAAGCGAAAGAAAATGGGTTTCCTGAAACCATCGCTGCCTCATCAGTCTCCCCAACGATATCTTCAGGAATTACCCCTCCACCGTTCGCAGTAGCCTGCGAAGGAGGAAACGACTTGATACATCGTAGACGAAGACTCTACTTGGAATGCCGATCCAACTGAACTGCCACCAATACTTGATTGCATTGGCATAGTAGGACCAGTTAGCGGGCGAATGCCCGGTGGTCCATGTAACCCAGTCTGTGCTCCCGGCCCTGATCCAGCAACCCCTCACTGCTGCATGTAATAAAATGCAGAGCCAGACAACGCCATGGCTTCTCTCACTACAAGAAAAATGGCTTTTAGCCACGGTTTTCTTAGCAACAGACATAAAAACCGAGGCTAAATGTTATTCTATAACAACAGATTTAATTGTCCGGTGCTATATGCTCTTTTGCTGGCTACGGCCTAGCTACCGTGTAATGCCCGTGGCTTAAAATTTATCTATTGAAACGATTTGTAAATTTGGCCGTGGTTAATACCTATTTGATATTATTTTAACCAAAGAATATCAATCGGAACCGTGGCTAACTAGTAGGCCCATGTTTTCCTCCCTCAAAATATTCAAGAATGTTTTCTCTAGGAGGAGTTCGCGCGCTTCCCCAAATTTTTGCCCGCGTTCTCTCTCTCTCTCTCTTGCGCTGGTTGATTTTCACAGGGGTTTGCACATAAACAGTTTTCCCTTCTCTTTTTCTCACTTTTCACCCTTTCTCATATTTTTATTTATTTTTTGTAGAATCTCATATCTTTATTTTGATTACTAGGGGTTTGCAAACAAACAGTGATCAGAGAAAGCATTACCAATTAGTTTCTTATAGGAATCGTTCTTTGCCGCTATGGGGTTAGGGCTTTGGTTTTGGATCTGTCAAAGCACAAAAAGAAAGCATTAACAATCAAAATGTAAGTTTCTTATGCTTTACCGATAAGCTTATTGGTGTTGCTTATTGTGCATTGTAAAAACTATTTTACTGCTTGAAATTAAAGATGTGGGATTTAACTTTTTAGAATTATGTGAGCTTTAATCATTTGGATTTTTTATGTGGGTATTTAATTAATAGATATATACAAAGAAAGAAAGAGAGGGAATTAGGGTTTTGATTTTCGTTGAATTTGTCGGTCATGCATTTACTTCTTAGTTGATTATAAAATGTTAAAAATTCACTATATTGGATAAACTAATAATATTTTTCCTAGATGGTAGAAGATTCATCTACATTTGGTTAGAAAATAAAATACAATTCTTTAAAAATTCACACTGCAAACCCAGAGAGGTGGGCTTAACTCCATTCTGAATTTAAAGTGACCATTAGAATTTATGACTTCCATTTTTAGTCTTTTTCTAATAAATTACCTCTCTTGGTCACTGAAATTGGTTACCTCACAGAGAGCTGAAGGCATGGGAAGGCCGGTTTTAGTCTAACAAAACTTATTGTCTTTAATGGGGTGCACTCTCTATCTATAGTTGATATAAGCTTTTAATCAGACTTTTATGGTTGATTACAAACCACATGAGGCCAACACTCTCTAGTTTTAGCGGAAGAAGCTCCTAAATTCCTTGGATACAGGAGTGAGAGGAGTGACTAGGTGTCATTGTTGTTAGGTCTCGACAGGTTTATTTGACTTTTTCTTCAAAGAGCACATTTACCAAGGAATATACCTCCAATTACTTTAAGTAATCTATTTATCTCAAAAGTCAAAACCATTATTATTTGAAGTTGCAGTCTTTGGATTTTACTGTCTAATGTTTTGATCTATCGTCTCATGTTGGTAACTTTTGCTTCATAGGAGCTTTAACCCTCTTCAAGATATTATGATTCCTTGCCAACAAAAAAAAAGATGTTTGGGTTTGTAACTTTCGTCTAGCTAGAGACTGTGAAGATGATTTTGGCAAAGGACAATCACCATTGTCTGTGGAGCTTGTGTTTTGGTGAAACCCTATGGGGAAAAGTCAAGAATTATTCATAGGTAAAGTTATTGGCTTATTTAAATGATAATTGACCATTTGAGGGAAATTCTCCTTGTACTTTGGTATTTAATTGGCTTAGGTGCTGATGAGGATCATGCTTTCTTATATTGTTGATAGTTTGCATATTTCTTAGCCATCAATGTTAAATTGTCTGAATGAACTGAAATTTTGGATGAATTCAAAACTTAGTTTAATTTTTGAGCATTATGTTGGATGAGGATCATTGAGTTTGTTGTAGAATCAATATTCTTTCATTGCAGAAATTATATAGAGGAGATTGAAACCTTGACCTTTTTGTCCTTCTCCACTTGCTGGAAATGGACCCTGAGCTCCACTCAAGTGAGTATTATATCACATATGGTGATACATGTTTAGTTTTTTTTTTTATAAATTTATCCTTTTAACAGTTTTTAAGTTAAAGATACAAGAAGCATAATAGAAAACAAACTTAGCCCCTGACTTTCTGACATCCTCATCATGTTAGTAAATGAGAAATGTATGAAAATGTTCTTACTGATCTTCAAAAATCTTCTTTAAGCAGAATTTCAAACTATAGTCCCATCCCATACATATGTAGTAGTATATGGCTTTGTTAATTGTTGATAAGATGATATGATATGATCTATATATGGAACTATGGATCTGTCATCTGATTTTCAGTTTACATGCCACTTATGCAGTAGTGTAATTGGATTTGCTTCTAACCAGGAATCTCCCAAAGATGAAAGTGGTGTACTTAAAGCAGTGCAAAATGTGCATGCAATGATAGACAAGGAAATAGGTTTTGGCACAAACCCTAAGAATGTTTTCCTCTGTGGATTTAGTCAAGGAGGTATGAACTCCACCTCTCTGTCACTCTTCTCTCCCACATTGATTCCTAATCTCCTATGAAAATAAAATGCTTGTCCATTTATAATACTTTTTCCAACCAAATTAATGGATCATCTAATTTGAAATGATAACAAGATGCTAGGTCATTAGGACTGAAGGAATTCTGATAAGCACATACATATGGTATACCAATGAATCATCTTATTTTCTTTATGATGAAGCAAGAAAATTAAAGAACCTATGGGTCAGAAAAACTACAATAATTGTTTACCAAGGAAAAAATACACTTTGAACAAAAAAACCTGTGTTTACATGGGTTTTTTGTTGGTGAGAGAAAACTCCCATAGACACATAACCAAGGATAATATTGGCCTATACTAATAATGTGCAAAGTTGTAATAAGTTTGGCAGGTGCTTTGGCATTAGCCAATGTTTTGTTGTATCCAAAAACCCTGGATGGATAATGCGCTCAATGATAGAGCACATTTCACCAGAAGCAAAGGTATTCTTCTAACATACTAAACTAAAGGTGTCTGACTTGTCCAAAAAAAAGCTAAAGGTGTCTGATTCTTTGTTTTTAAATAATCAGATTTGTGTTTGATTTTTATGTTTTTATATTGCCATTATTTTGCACAGAAAGTCTGTTACACCAATTTAGTGGATGGGCATTATACCAATGGCATGTGGTTCAATGTTACACCATAATTTTCAATAACCACAACTTCCTTTTGGGTTCACCTTTGGATATCTTTCATCTGAGAGTAGAACCAACATAACTAGAAGTCCTAATTATCAGACTTATTTGCATGAGTAGAACCAACTTATTACTAATGATCAAGAAATAAGTTGATCGCAAAGGTGGTTTAACATCATTCAAAACCTTTCTGTCTTCTAGATAATGCCACCATGTTACTTCTTTACCATTTGGGGTGAAACATGTCTAGATGCCTTATCAGTGACTCTATGGCTTAGTGTTTTCAAATAGTCACTATGGTGCCTAGGCATTCGATCAGGGCTAGGTGATTAACTGCATAAGTGGGTATTTATACTAGCATATGGCAAGGGTGTTTTGGTAATTAAACATGATTCTTTGACTGATGCACTTGCCACTTGCTAGAGATGGAGCAGGGAGGTAAGCCCTTGACTGGAGGGCTCCTAGACCAAGGATTCATATATAGATTTGTTTTGTATTCTAAGATAGTGTTGCTCTTTCTATTTTGTGTAAATGTGACCAGGGAGGTAAGCCCTTGTGTAAATGTGAATATTAAATAAAGATTACTATGGATATTTTGAGTAAATGTGTAAAGATTTTATTTGTAAATATATCCATCATACAAATACAGATTCAGGTGAGCAATTTTTTTTCTAAAGTTGCAAAGGTAACCATCCAATTATTGAATTAAAAATTAAAACACTTTTAGCGACGGTCTAATAAAACCGTTGTTAAACGTGTCATTAGTAGCAACGGTTTTTATCTAAAACTGTTTCTTTTCTAACTGTTCATACACATTTAGCCACGGACAGACCCGTTTTTATCTTAATTTTTAGGAACGGTACATAATACAACCGTTGCTATTGCCAACTATTTATACACATTTAGCCACGGACAAACCCGTTGCTAACTTGATTTGTAGCAAGGGTACATTATAAAACCATTGCAAAAAATGTTGTGATTGGCAACAGTTAAAACCGTGGTTATATGTATACTTTTAACCACGGTTTACAATATCCGTTGCTATAACTTTTAGTCACGACAATATCTTGTATGGACAAAAACCATTGCTATAACCTTTAGCAACGGTTTTTCTGTTGCTAAAACTGATTTTTCTTGTAGTGTCTCCCATCCATGCATTTAATTTAAAAATAATTGCAAAAAGAAAAAAAAAACATTTCCGCTAAACGTCAACCATAGAAATTTTAAGTTTCTGTCAATAATTCTGCTCGAAGGATGAAACAACTTGATGCATCCTCATATTAGATTTAAGAAGGCTTTTGTCAGAACCAGAGTTTCATGTATGCAGTTATAGATGCTAAACGGCTGAGCGTCATGGTTTGGACTGTGGAGAGCTTGGGCTCTGTTTCAAGAAAATATGAAATGTGAGGTCACATGATATTTTTGACATTTTTTAAAGTTTTTAAGGGTAATTTTGACATTTTTAAAAGTTTTAAATCGCACATGAAGTCACGTGATATACATAACTAACGGTCCATTAACAGTAGGTACTAAATTGTTGCATTTTGAAAGTTCGATTACTAAATTGGCACTCAATCTAAAGTATAAGATACCAATTTATTTTTTGGTATTTATTATCCAACATCAAGCATATTAGTTAATTAATTATTTATAATTAGTGGATGTTTTGTAAAATATATATAGAAATGATCCAAGATCTAAAAACATTGTTGATGTAATGGAAATTAAAGTGAAAAAATATTGGGAAAATATTTCTCCTTTATATTGCTTAGTTGTAATGTTAGACCCTATGATTAAAAAAATAATAATAATGTAGATATTTTATTTGAATTATCATGAAAACATGCAAAGTGATATTGGACTAAAAATGAAATTAATAATTTATTATTTAAAATTTATAATTTATATGAATCACAAACATTAGAGAATAAAAAACTTGTATGAACATGCCATTTGAAACTAGTGTTAGTGCAATACAAAATGTTTGGTCATTAATAAACAAATGTAGGCAACAATGAGTTGCCTTTCATCGAGTTCATTTATTGAACTTCATTTTTATTTATAAGCTAATCTTATAAGTTTTTTAACAAATGAGTAATTAGATAATTTTAATATTATAGCATGGTGTAAAGAACATGAGAAAAATTATCCTAAGGTTGTTGCAATGGTATATGATCTACTAACCCTTTTTGGTGTTCACAATTCCCTCGAAGTCTTATTTTAATGCATGTACCAAGGTATTAGATAAGAAGAGAAGTTATAAGGATGATGAAAGTCTAGAAATGTGCATATGCCTGAAGCATTGGTTAGATGTAGAGGACAAATTACAAAATTAAGGTGGATATGACACATCCATTAATGATTTACTAGACCATGCAGATGGAGATGGAATTTGAAGAAAATATTGATGCTAATATTTTTTGTGAAATTCAATAATTTACAATATTTTCTATATTATTGTAAGTTTTGATTTTCAATGTTATTTAAAAGTTATTTGTGATTTTTTCCAATCCCATAGTAATTTTTTTTTTCAATTTTATTTATTATATATACTATTTTATTCCAATTCCATTGTAATTGTTTTTCAAGTTTAATTTCATTATTTCAATTGTACACATTGAATTCAAATGAAATATTTTTTTATGTTTTTATTTTCAATTTGTTGTCTATTTTGTTAAGTGTTTTATCATTAATATTTTATTACTTTTTTTCAAAATTTCTATCATTTTTTACATAAAAAAATAATAAAAAACTAACAGGCCATCGACCGGATTCTCAAATTTTCTATCGTTAATATTTTGATGCAAAATTCCATTAAATTAAGCTCTGTAGTAATAAATGACTATCATCCATTGGGTTTATCTGGGTGTCGATCGGGTCCAAATGTAGTAGGCACGTTAGGTAAGCACAATTAATGAGTGAGAACCTAATAGCTGTGTGACACCTGTCCCAGCTAATGTGCTTTTCATCTAAATGTTTTTGTTCGTTAGAACTAATAAGTAAAAAATGAAAAAGGGGAAACCGTAGAGATAAGAGACGTACCTAAATCAAAATTTTGGCCTGAGCAACGGTGCTGCAAGAGACTTTTAATCCGATCCAATATGGGATTGTTAGCACTCGACTGGTGATGATTTTCTTGGATTTTGGTCGGGATAGCCATTGGTTCGAACAACAGAGTTCATAGAGTAGGAGCTCGATTGATGATTAGAATGACAAAGCAACGGCAGTAGGGTGATAAGAAGGAAAACTAGGAAAGTAAACGGGACCGGAATAGGTTGGGTTTCTGTTAAAATCAAATGGGGAATCTGAGAAGGATTGCATCGTCATAAGTCATATGTTCTTGTCGATTGGGAACAGGAACATGGAGAATTGCGACTGTGGCTCATGGGAGGAGGAGTGAAAGAAAAGAACAAAAAATAGAAAAGATAAGGGAAGAAAAGAATGAGGAAAAGAGATGGAGAGGATGAGAGAAGAGGGATTACCGGGGAGAAGCTCGAGGCGGCCGCTGCTGGTTCGCCTTTGGAGGGAGAAGACAATAAACAGTAGAAAAAAAATAATATAATAGATAATTCATCTCTAACCGAATAAAAACGTTTAGATGAAAAACACATTAATTGAGACACAAATGTCAAACAGCTATTATTAGGTGCTCACTCATTGTACTTACCTAACGTACCTACTACATCGATATCACTGTCTCGTATGTGGGGGTGGCTGGCATTGACTACTCAGTTGAGTTGTCTTTTGCATGGTGTCCGCACGGCAACAGATCTCAGTCGATGCTCTGAATCACAACCACCAACATGAATGAACGACGTGGGCATCCAAGAAACCAAACTCTAGCGCCAAATGCAACCAACCCTCCACGCCATTTGGCAGCCATAACCCCACAGATTTGCTGCAGACACCGCTATGACACACATAGTCCTCGTCGAGGACTGTGTTTATCATTCCATCCATCCTTGAATTTTTCCATATTTTCAAGCTCAACCTCTCAACTCTGATCTGTGGGAAACTTCAATTTTTACATTGGTTGCAATTGCGATCCTCTGGATGTTGGGTATACTTGGATTCCGTTTTCCTCTGATTTGTGATTTCGCGTTCAAAAACTAAACGGAATTTGAAACCAATCCATCTTGCTGACTTATTGATTCAAATTGATCAATTGAATTTCCAGCCCTTCATCTTCAGCTATGTTGTGAGGGTCCCTCAAGCATTCCTCAATCATATGTTAAAAAGGAGATCAGCTTCAGTTAGTGCAAGCCCATGCTCACATCATTCAAAAAGTTTCTTGCAACCTTATATTGGGAATATCTTCTCATGAAATAAAGCATAGAAGTATGGAGATATTAATTTCTAATGCAAGACTGTAAAGACTGTTCAAATGGACTTTGCACTGATTGAAACCAGACTCTCAAAAAAGAAGGGAGAAAATATTGCCATTAGAATAAACATGGGAATCCCACATTTTTCTGTGGGAAAGTGCCCCCTCCCCCTCTGGTATGAAAATCATAGGGCTTTAAATCTATTTGAACCCCCTCTCAATATTTACATGTATATATACACATGCGTGTCTGAATATACAAAATATGCGTACATTGGGCTGGTTAGACTTTTAACTCATTTGATAAATAGGTTTAGGGCATTTTTTTAATACATTGGCCTTAATAGGCCTACATTAATCCAATTGACAAATTCAAACCTGGCCCTTGAACCCAACTCAAGTGTGTCAAATTTTGTTCAGACCGAGCTCAGGTTGAACAGATCGGGTTTGACCTCTGGCTCAATTTAGGGTCCGGTCTTAGACCCAGGTCTTAAGGTTCGGTTGAATTGACTTAAACCCATCTAGACCTCCCCCCACACCCCCAACCATAATTTGAATCAACTTTCATCTTTATTACCAACAAAACCAAAATAATGAAAAACCATCAATTGGTTAGCCTCCAAAAATCAGTCTAGAATTAAGAATCTTTTGCTACAAGAAACACAATTAGGGTGATAATTTGTACCCCTGCTTGGCCCAAAATTGTTAGGATTGGGTCTAAGTTTTGTGTCCATGCCCAACTTGGGCTCGGGCTTGCATTAGGCCAAGAAGTTATTATACATATAAAATAAACATATAGCATTTTTTATATTTTATGTGCCTGATATTTGCTGATGAAATAGTATTAATTGATGAAAATAATCGAGCACTAAAAGTAAAATCAGGTTTATGGGATAAGAACATTAGAAGCAAAATATTTAAAATAAAAAAGACTACAACAGAATATTTGCAGTGTAAAACTAACTAAAATAAAAATAGAATATAGAGCATAGCCCAAGGTTTGCACCCTGCTCTTGCACTTTCGCTTTGTTCTTTAATTTCAAGCATTCTATCTTGAAATGTTCTTACTTCTTGCAATGATAATTTATATCTTCATGAAGTGTAAGGAGCCAATTTGTTCCTCTCAAAGGTTGTGAAATAAGCCATAAAACTAACTAAAAATAGAACTAAAATTTATTTAGTTTATACTAAACCAAATTGAAAAATTAAGTAAAAAAAAATTATTCAAAAGAATCTAAACCAGATC